CCCCAAAACCCCAAAACCCCAAAACCCCAAAACCCCAAAACCCCGTTTTCTAATCACAAATTGTATATTATTATAAATCGAATATGGATAGAGCTGAAAATAGTGAAGCCTATGACCAAAATTTTTCCGCAGGTAAGACCTTTAGGAACATTAGTTGGCTAATTATAATGCTGCTATTTTCTCAAATTCCTATCTATATTCTATGTTTAAAGGAGGTTGTAAAAACTCAGGTGGTCAAAAATCACTGATGTGCGATATAGGAGATTTTGATGATCCAATGACAAAATACGACAATATTGATATATCAAAGTATGCTATAGAGCTCAGTTCAGTTCAGTGAGCCTATTTGCATAACTTACTGCCAGGAAATGGCTATAGGTTCGTGCCAGAGGAAACCACACTAAATCAGATTACTAAAAGGAAAAACAAGAAAAAGAAAAATGCTAAATCTGTCTTCACAGACAGTGCAATTTCAAATAGTGATAAAATGAGCTCTTCTGAGAGAAATGTACAGGATTCGAGTTCGATGAATAGTAAGAAAAGATCCTCGACTCCTTCCAAGGCTGTAGTGCCTTCTGAGTTGGCTGAATCAGCTAAAGAGAGCTTTGGAAGAGACATGAGTGGTAACCATGACTCTATGAAACAGTATAATCCATCAGAATCTGCTAGCTCAAGTAAGAACTTGCTCAATTTTGCTAAATTTTAATTAGAATTAGAATCAGTATTTGAATAAATCGTTACACTCCTAATTTTATAGTCAAGAATATTGAGAAGCCAGTTCTTGCACAGGAACCAGTTCTTGCACAGGAGCCAGTTCTTGCACAGGAGCCAGTTCTTGCACAAGAGCCAGCTCCTGCTGCTCCAGTAGCTCCGCTCACTGAGAAACCAGCTGAGTTGACTCCAGTTCAACCTACTATACCTCAGAACCCAGAGCCATACCAGGAGAATCATAATTTTGGAGGTAAGATTGTGAAAATGCTAATACTTTTCTCTACATTAAAAATTTATTGATCAAAACCTTAGGAGATAAACGATTAATTCTAAGTCCCAAATTTTATAATTTCTGTGCAACAAAAAGAGGAGTTTTATCTCCATAAAATTTAGAGAGCTAGAGGGTGGTGACATCCTCAATTTGGTTTATGAAACCTTTCTAGTCCGACCTTTTAACATTTGTTTTATTTAAAATTCTTCCTCTTTTCTAGAAGAATATTGACTAAATTGAATAAATTTTGAAAAATTCTACTAGATTTAAGATTTATGAGTTTAAGTTATTAAACGAATAGTACTGAAACAGTAAATTTTAGGGTTTCTGTCGTGGCATCAATAATCAATTCAGAAATTAGATTACTGAAAATGAAATTCAAATATATTGAAAATTTTTGAAAATCCGCTATTTCTACTTAATATAACAGAATTAGAGAAAATAACTGCACAGAAGAATAAGTTCTGATAAAAATTAGAGATATTTATGATTCTTTTTATTTTCTCCTTTTCACTCTATTCAAAAAAGTAATACCAAGTTATCATCCTTCCGATGCCATAAAATCCACTATATCTCCTTGAACATTTCTTCTGCCCGAATTCCTGACTCCCTCATAATAAATTTCTTACATCCAATTTCTATGCTTCATCAAGCACAAATCACTACTTAAAATTCCCCTTCTAAACCCTTCATTTTCCCTTTTATTCAATCTAAATCCAATCAAATCCTTGACATAGGAATCTCAACTGAGCCAGTACAGTTAAACAAGGAAGAGAAGAGAACCTTAGGAAGACAGATCAGGAAGTTAAACCCCTCCTACATGAGAGGGATTATTAAAATTGTAACCAAAGGGAAACCTATAAAAGAAGAAGCGCTTGAATTCGACCTCAACAAACTGTCCCCAAGAACCAATCATTCTCTCAAGAAATACGTTGAGGACTGTAACAGCTCTGAAGGAGCGACCCAGATCGGAGGTGTAAACTAATTCAACTATAATTTTACGAGCCGGGGTTTTGGGGTTTTGGGGTTTTGGGGTTTTGGGGTTTTGGGGTTTTGGGG